TCGTATGAATAATACTGTTGTAAAATCCAGTATATAATAGAATAACATATAAAATTGACATACATATCAAATAGTTTCGATATATGCGCAGGTATGGGCTATAGATGCCAGTCGCAATATTTTGTTTGCCGGACGTGTTTGCATTAGACACAACATCGAGGCGTAACGATATGGCAGAACAGTTGTGCTGTTGTGTGAATGCAGTCAACTATTTGCTGTCAGTGCGCCGCTTGTCACTTCAGCTGACATCGGGTGGGTGCACTAGGCCAGGAATAGCAGCAGCAGCAGCAGCAGCAGCTCCTGTGCAGGACACACGATTACATGTCCTGTCAGCTACCAGCTACTGCCTAGCTGGCTGCTTGGCCTGATGTCTGACTGTCACGAGGGCATGTCAGCGTCAGTTTATGCGCCTGACAGCGTCAACAATTTTATTTACTTAATTTGGCTTTAGTTTGTCATTTATTTACTTGTTGGCCACAACTGCCCCATAGTCGCGTGTTCCTCTCCCTCTCCCACCCCCTATCTTTCTTTGTCTATCTCTCTCTCTCTCTCTCTCTCTCTCTCTCACTGGCTGTCGAGTGACATGCCTAACGCCATCTCATCTCAGTTGCTCATGTGCGTCTCCTAATGTCTGTTGTTGTCACTTTGACGCTTGACGTTGCTCCACTTGCCGTTTGTCGCATTTGTGCCCTTGTTTGCTCTATCGCGGGGTAGTTCCGGCTACGGCTGCCTGTTTACAGTTGTCATTGAATGTAAGAACCAAATGTTTCAAAATGCTTTTGTATAGCAGCATCTATTTGTTTATCGATTTTCCTTGACTCTCTTCTCTCTCGCTTAGCTCCGTTGGTGTCCCCTAATTTAGAATTTAAAGTCACACAAATTTGACGTTTGTTATATTTTAAAATCCATTTCGTTTGTAGCTTTATTTAGTAAATTTATCAAAATTTTCATTTGCTTGTTTCCAGAAAACCTTATATGACTCTTGAATGTCAAACAATTCTTATTCCCATTCTTAGCACCTTCTGTTTTTCATAGTTTCAATAGTATTACTGACCATATTTGGCTGTGAATAAGGTATAGCTGGCGGGCTGGGGTAGTAATATTGTACTAAGTTTCAGTACTTTCTTAGGCTATACAATTATAGTTTTAGCTTTTACTTCGGCATTATATCTTTAAAAAATAAATTAAAATAATAATACGAATTTACATTTTTTATTTAAAAACATCAATACACAGATTTTGCATTTTTCAAAAAATTCTTACATTTTAATATTAATTAAATGTATTTTTTAAAATAAAATAAAAAAAATATTTTTATGTTCTACAATATTCTGTTTAACCCTAAGACCATTTTAAAGTAATAAATATTTAAGGTAGTGAATATGATTTTTAAACCAATGTAATATAGAATTTTTTTGTAAATATTTTTGTTACATTTTTTTTTAAATTTATATATATTTATTAATTTTTTATTTTGTATCTTTATATTTTTTATTTTTATTTATTAATTAATAATTTTTATTTTTTTTATTTTTTTTTTTTTTGCATTGCTTTGGTTTCCTGTAATGTGTGCGACACATTCTGTGTACCCGCAGCATAAGGCTGGCCTTGTTGTTGCTCATTTCTGGCCGCTGGCACGTGCTGCTGAATTGTTTATGAAAATTTAGAGCTCGCGTTTGCTGTCGCTGCTGTTGTTGTTGTTATTGTTGTTGATGTTGCAACACTTGTGCGCACTTTCATTAAATATTTATTTCAATCACTTGATCCAAATGGAAATACGTTCAGGTGATATCAGCTAAATCAGAGCTGAAACAGAGGGCGTGTGTGTGAGAGAGAGCGAGAGAGAGCAGAGAGTGGGAGAGCGAGGGAGAGAGAGGCTGCACTAACATTTGTCATTACACATTAATAGCGCACCATTAATCTTTTCGTGAGCTGTTGGCCAAATGAATGCTGCTACCAAGGGCCAAGTCCCCGTTAATTAATGTATGCCATTTAGCCGGAAAATTGCAGGGGTGCACACACACATGAGCCTCTGTCTGTGTGTGTGCAGGCCCATCATAATGAGCGCCAATTTAGTGTCCCTGTGTGTGCGTGTGCGTGTGTGTGTGTGTGTGTCTCGTTGTCGCCACCGCAAACAAGCAAAGGCCAAAGCCACAGCCAACCCCCACACCCTCGCCCTCTCGCTCTCTGTGCCCTCTCCCTTTCTAGCAATACTGCTGTCCCGCTCACTCTGCCCAGCAGGTATGCTTGATTAATGCTTTATAACAGGACACAGTACACACAAACAAAACAAGGATATTGCCGACTGTATGGCTGCTGACCCCGCGCAGCTGACGCCCATTCAAACTGTTCGTATTGCCCTGCCGACCGCCCCTCCCGCCCCGCTCCACCCTTGCCATCCATTCCGAGCTGCTTTATCCGGCTGGGTCCTTGCATTTTAACATTAATTTAGTGGAATGCGGCAAAGGACTATGAAAGCTTTTCAGCGTCGTCGTCGACACATGTTAATCCCGTCGTTGTCGCTACCACAACCTCTACCACTACCACTACCACTACCAGTAGCACTACCATTGCCTCTCTCCCATTCCCATTGCCATTCACATTCCCATTCCCATTTACATTCCCATTCACATTCGCATTCACATTTACATTCATTTAGGCTCACTCCTCGAGTACTATTTACATTACACAAACGCATTTCGTACGCCCAAATTGGAACAGCTTAATTTTTGAGAGCATATTGTAAACTAAATGCGCAAAGGGATCCACGCCCAATTAATGGTAGCAGAGCTAAAGCGCTGATTAAACAAAAACTTTAATTAGGCAGTTGCCCATATTATGTGCCAATTGAATACATTTGAATAA